GTGGGGGACTCGTGATGGATATATTGGACCCGGATCGAACCGATCCTGAGAGACGGACCCGAGAAGCCCCTCGGCCCAGTCAATTGGGCCGTGGCCGAGTCGGCCCAAGGCATCTCGGCCTTGGGCCAAGTCGGCCACGGATGGGCTCGGTACACCCCGAGCCCATCACCATGGACTCGGCCACTACCGAGCCGGTCCATGGTGGACTCGGCTAGGCCGAGCTCGGCACGTGCCCAGCTCGGCCATGCCGAGTCGGCCCGCCTTGGACCCGGTCCCGGAGGGGACGCGGTCAAAGCAGGTCGATCCAACTAACCCCGATCCTAGGGGTGCGGTTGGGGGGTTTGAGTTGATATAAAAAGCCTCCCTCTTGTCCTAAACAAGGACACGACACACAACACAACAGATTCCTGAATTGCTATCTTCTAGCCTTATTGTCCTAATCAAGCCTTGTAATAGCTTATTAACAATAATTAATACAATATACGGTCCCTGCGACCTACGGTCCCCGCGACCTTATTATATCTCTGTGTCACATTATTTATTTCGTACGTATACTTATCCGAGTTTAATAATTCGGACTACCCCCGGGGGAATTAAATCCATCACCTGGAATTGTGCAACAAAATAATATAAAATATTCCCTTTAAATACTTGCAAAATGTGCCATTCATCGTAGATGACATGGAACTAGAATGCAAAGGGAATTGAATGACAAATACAAGTGTGGTTCCAATGTTTTCTGAAAATGGTGAAATGTGTTTCATCCTCAACTTGTGTTTAGGACTTTCGGTTTAGCAAATTAGAAATTAGGACTTTAGGACTTGGGGAGGGCAGCATCAACCATTATTGTCCACACAGTTGTGTGAATCATATTATCAAATAATGTACATCCAGTATACAAATAATGTATTTTTAAAATATTAAAAATGTATATTGTATTAAAAAAAATATTATTTGAGTACTGAAAATACATTATTTTGTAAATAATGTACATTCATACACGAATAATGTACTTTTAGTGTATTTAAAAAATGTACTTTTTTATGATCCACATAGCATCGTGTGGACCATTTGCTGGGTAACAAAACACTTAATACTTTTTTTAAATAAATAAATAAATAAGGCTTGGCTCGTAGGTTGCTCCGTTACCTAAGGGGCAAATTATACCATGGACTAGGGTCTATCTTGCAGTGTAGACCCTATTCCAAAAATAACTTTGAGATTCTGTATCTATAGTTGACACATTTTGTACTTGCAGTTGATAGTTTCTGTACATGTAGCTATCATATTATGTGTCAGCAATTATCAAGTCAGATTTTGTATCTGCAGTTGACACATTCTGTACCTACAGTTGATAGTTTCTGTACCAGTAACTATCATATTATGTGTCAACAATTATCAAGTTATTTGTTTATATGTACAGAAACTGTTAATTGTAGGTATAGAAAGTATTAACTGAATGTATAAAATTTTTATATCAGGGTTCACAATGTAATATGAACTGATCCATAGTATAACAATTGAACCTAAGAGGGTTGTGAGTCGCAACAGGCTAGGCCCATTAGTGATTAGACCAACATTTTCGCGCGCCATCTTTTCCATGGCTCTAATCCAATTTACCGCGGGGTGAATGGCAAATTATTCTATGGACTCAGGTCCACCTTGCATTTAGACTCAGGTTTAAAAAGAATTAATTTCACTTTTGGTCCCACGACTTTTGAGTTCGTATCACTTTTGGTGCACAAATTTAAATTTTTTCAATTTTGGTGCCTAACTTTGTTATTTTTATCAGTTTTGGTCCTTCCAGCCAAATTGACGATAAAATATTTCTGGATTTTATATTTTAGGGGCAAAATCGTCATCCCATGAAAAGATCTTCAATATTTAAACAAAAGAAAAATCATATTAAGAGGAAAAGAAGAGTTTGTCAATGATCGAAACTATAAATCTCATAGATCTGTCTGGTTTCTGCCCGTCTTCCCCATTATTTTCATCGTCAAACACCTATAGATATGATTTTACAGTGATTTTGTTTAGATATTGAAAATGTTTCCTTGGGATGACGATTTACCCCTAACAATATAAAATCCAGTAACATTTCGCTGTCAATTTGGCCGAAAGGACCAAAACTGATAAAAATAACAAAGTTAGGCACCAAAATTAAAAATTTTTAAAGTTGTGCACCAAAAGTGATAGAACATCAAAAGTCGTGGGACCAAAAGTGAAATTAATTCGGTTTAAAAATACACAATTTATATACTAAATGTTTATAATTTACATATGAATGTTCATAATTTTATATACTTTTTTTTTTGAAAATCATAATTTTATATACTTAAATATTCACTATTTACATATTGAATATTTACAATTTACATATTGAATGTTCACAATTTACATACTAAATGCTCATAATTTTATATACTAAATGTTCACAATTTACATATTGAATATTTACAATTTAAATTGTGAACATAAATTGTATATTTTGACTCGAGTCCATGACATAACTATCTGAGGTGGGCAAATTATGTTGTGGACTCGTGTCCATAATGCATTGTGGAGACGAGTCCAAAACGACATCGTTTTAAGGGAAAACGCGGCCTTCCAGTTAAAAAAAAAAAATTGATTTTGTCTTGCCGTTAACGGCGTTATTTGTTTGTGGCATTATGAATGTACAGTTATGGAATTATGAATGTACAGTTATGCAATTATGAATGTACAGTTATAGAATTATGAATGTAAGTTAAGGAATTATGAATGTAAGTTAAGGAATTATGAACACAGAGCTCTGACATTATGAATCTACAATTATGAACATATAGTGATAAAATTATGAACATAGAGCTCTAAAATTGTGAACATAGAGTTTCAAAAATTATGAATTTACAGTTATTGAATTATGAATGTACAGTTACGAAATTATGAATGTACAGTTATGCAATTATGAATGTACAGTTATGCAATTATGAATGTACAATTATGCAATTATGAACACAGAGCTCTGACATTATGAATTTACAATTATGAACATATAGTGATAAAATTATGAACATATACTCCTATAACAAAATGGTTTAAAAATTTTTTATAAAAAAAAAAATAAAAAAAAAATAGAAGAGAACGGTGCCACTAACGGCATCGTTACCGTGTCCAGCATGCATGCTGGACACGGGTCCATAGCATAACGATTGTCTGAGGTGAATGCAGGTCAACCCGCGAATTTCGATTGACTTTGAAAGTCCTAGTGACAAACACCAAAAATAGGTACCTATTATTGATTTATTATAACTAGTATTTGTCCCGTGCGATGCACGGAAAATATGTTATAAAAATATACCCTATATGAGGTTTATTCATATATAAATTTTTTGTTATTTAATAATTATTATGTGTGAATTCCTATGATAAAATTATGAACATAAATATATTTACAATTAAAATAATATTTAAGGTGGGTGATTATTACAAATCTTAAGCTATATTAAAAATTTAGTATATAGTATCTAATATTACAAATTTTTAAGAACTTAGTAAACTACATAATTGAATTACAATTTTAGAGTCACCACGGATCAAAATTTGTAGACCTTTGAGATTTCTAACTCTAGATGTAGCAACATACAATTGACCTTTAAAGACCAAAATCACAATCTTAGTTCGAACATTGATGTTTTCTTTCAAATACTATCGAATTAAGTGTGTAATCAATAAAATATGAGAACTAATAATTCGAGAATATAATCTTAATGTTACTAAGCCTACTTCACGTCAATTAAGTTGGAGAGTGTTGCTGGATAGTATCCAATGAATCTACGAATAACACATCTTTGTCTCCGTAGTCCTTAATATGCACATCAACAATCTTAAATATTAGGCTGCTTAGCTATGCTATATATTAATTTCAAACTTATAGACTTTAGGGTTGTATGCATACTTCTTAAAACCATATGATCTTGTGAAAATTAAATGCAACATTTAATTTTCACAAGATCATATGACTTTATTATATATTGGAGATAGGAGATAGGAGATAGGATGATATCCCATGTGCAAAGGTGACACAATGAATAAGCCAATCGGTTAGGTTTTCTTGGGCCAAACACCTTGAGAGTAGAGTTGCCCAAGGACAGGACTGAGGATCGCAAATTATATTGTGCACTAGGATTCATCTTAACTATAAAATAATAATATAGATACATAAAATTAATATTGTAACCACATAAAAATAATATTATAGGTATATTTAGTAGTGAATTTATGTACTTACAATAATCTTTTTGAGAGTAATTCAATCGAGTTGGTCAAACGCTGGTCAACAATAGTTAGCTTATTGTGATTCTTTGTTTATTAGAGTCACAAGACGAACTTCATCCAAAGCCTTTTATGTATATATAGATTTATTTATTTATTTTTTAAAAAAATATCAATATATATATATCATTTAAAATACTTTAATTATACATGCAAAAGATTATGGTAAAATCTTTAGACCAGGGTCCACCTCGCAAGGTGAACCCTTGTCTACGATATAACTACTACTTTAATTTTTAAGACAACTCATTTTAGTTAACCTAAGCACATGCCATTACACCTTAACAATATACTTAAACATTAAAGTAATAGGAAAGAACAAAGAATAAGAAGTGCATTCACATTACTAAATTGGGAACACTAAGATATGGGTACTGCAGCAGAACATAGAAAACATGTTTGTTCCTCTGACACCATCATCTAAGTATTAAGTATTAACACTATTCTAATCCCTCTCTTAACCACTATTTTGTCCATCCATAATCACATTTTACAGAATGAAACTAATCCAATTAAAACTCAATCCAACCCTATTTAAAAACACCATCATCAAATCACTCTTTTGACTTGCCAAAATCCCATTCGAGCCTCAGTGGAGTCGAGATTGACTCTTTGTGCTTCAGTAAGTTAAAAAAGTAGTTATGAACAGATACTGCATCATAACAGAATCAATGCACTAGATTGAATTATGAACAGATACTGCATTGTAACAGAGTCAATGCACCAGATTGAATTGGAACCTGATGAAAAAGCATCCGGCAATGAAGTGCAAAAACAAAGAAGCATTACAGACATTGTAAGTTAAGGTTGGTTAAAACTTAAAAGCCTAAAATTTCTGCAGAAAACAGTTCTGGTTTTTCCATTCAAGCCTTCAAAAGCTACCAAAATAACCGGATTCCTAGTCGTTAATGTAATAACCGGATCATATGTTCATGCAAGTTCATCCTGGCTTTCTGAAGGGCTTCTGATCATCTCCAAAATGCTGACCACTTCTGTCATGTAAGGTCTGTTAGAAGGAACCTGTGATGTGCAGATCAAGCCTAGTTTGATGATGGGGATTGCCTCCTCGCCTCGAAACCCGCCTTGTAGTCTCGAGTCGAAGCATTCTTCCACCCGGCCTTCCTCGAGGGCGGCTCTCACCGTGTCACACAGTACTACAACATCGTCCTCCATGTACTCCACGGGCCTCTTTCCCGTGATGATCTCCAGAGCCAGGATCCCGAACCCATACACATCACATTTCTCGGTTATTTTCACCGTTTTGCAGGCGAACTCGGGGGCCATGTACCCGAGTGCACTCTGGATTTTGCTGCTCAGGACGTATCGATCGAGCATTGGCAGCAGCTTTGCTAGCCCGTAATCTGCGAGTTTTGGTTCCCCCGAGGTGCTGTCGATTAGGACATTGCTCGATTTTATGTTGTAGTGGATTATGTTCATCTGGTGCAAGTGAGCCAGGCTCCTAGCTGTTCCAAGAATCATCTCGAATCTCTCGTTCCAACTTAAGTTCGGGCCTAACCCTTCGTGGAGACGCTTGTACAGATTCCCTCCCGACACGAATTCGTATATCAGAAGCTGCAGTGATGGAGTCCAGTAATAGCCTTCAAGCGCCACGAGATTAGGATGCCTCACTTTGCCCAGTTTCTTGACCACCCTTTCAAAATCCTCCCGAGACTTGACAAGACTCGAGACAGTAAGCTTCTTGATGGCAACCGGATGCCCGCCCTTAAGAACAGTCCTGTAAACCGCTCCAAATCCACCCCGCCCAAGCTCACAATCCTTGTTAAGAAGGGCGTGAGAGCCCGTATTGAAGTCAGATTCACCCGAAAACATGACAAGTTTACCCGAATTCCCATCTGTAGATGACGAGTTATGGCTAAAGTCATCACCACCCGAGAACGTAAGGTCTGCAGCAGATCGAGAAGTGGCAGATCGGACGCTAAGGTTAAGCACAGTAACCGTAATCATGCCCACGACTATCGCAGCTGCAGCAACAATGGCAATGAGAGCAGAGATGCTAAGCATTTTCTTCTGACGCCCAAAACCCCTCGGGATCGAGTCAGGAGTAGTAGAAGAAGCATTCGTGCCCGGGTCCATTACTATCGGTTTGGGGAGGACAGAAGCACACGATCTATTGACTGCTGCCCCACAAAGCGACGGGTTATTGGACACAGAGGAAGGCGAAATGGTGTTAAAAAACCCACCACCGGGCAGTTCGCCTTGCAGCTCGTTATGCGAAACGTTGAACGTCAAGAGGTGTACAAGATTAGCTAGCTGCTTTGGAAGACTACCCGTGAGCTTGTTAAACGATAGATCAACGCGTTTAATGGCAGCAAGTTTTGCTAGCGATGCTGGTAAAGGCCCGGTTAGGTTGTTATGTGAAAGAATCCTGCAAAAACGAGCCATTTACTGTTAGACTAACAACTCCGGAAAGTGTTTGCAGTTACTATACTATTTCAGCCATGTAAAGATCAAGAAAATGCTTAAACGAGGATATATATATACACGAGAACTTACAGTGAAACTAGTGACAAACAGTTACCAATCGAAGATGGAATTCCCCCGGTGAGGTTGTTTTTCTGTAGTCTCAGTTCCGTTAGAGAGGTAACCCTTCCGATTTCCAAAGGGATATTGCCATTTAACCGGTTCTTACTCAAATCGAGTACATTAAGGGATTTCAATTTTCCTATACTCTTAGGAATGCTCCCTATAAGTGAATTTCCAGAAAAATTCAAGACCTCCAAGTCACTAAAACCGCCAAGGGCAGATGGAATTTCCCCAGCAAATGTATTCTCGGAAAATATAACTTTCTGTAATCCCGGTTTATTTAACCAAGACGGGATTTCGCCCGTCAAGGAGTTATGACTAACATCCAAAGCCAGAAGATTTGTACAAGTTCCGATGGATTCAGGCAAGTTTCCGGAAATCGAATTCTTGGATATTTTTAGTACCTTTAGTGACTGAAGCTTCCCAATTGATGTTGGAACCTTGCCCGAGAAGTGGTTCTCCGAAAGATCCAAGGTCTCGAGGGTTTTCATTTCGCCTATCCATTCTGGAAAATCACCTGAAAAGGCATTTCGTCTCAAGATTAGGTCGTGACACAATCTTAGCTTCTGCATTGTGCTGGGAAGTCCTCCCGAAAAAGAATTTTGGCTCAAATCAATCGACCTCAACAGCAAACAGTTTCCTATTCCATCAGGTATTTCGCCCAAAAATTGATTCTTATGCAAACGTATCCCTGTCAGATTGCTCAGACCTTCAATGCCCCTTGGAATCTCACCCTCGAGCAAATTATCCGACAAATCAAGATACCTTAGGGAATTCAAAGACCAAAGGGTGTTGGGTAACAATCCAGAAAACTGATTCGATGACAAGTTTAACGAAGCTAGTGAAGCACACGAACCCAAACTCTCTGGAATTCTCCCCGAGAACTCGTTCTTAGCCAAAGAAATCGTTCTTAAAGACCCACATTCTTGAAAAAGATCCCCCGGGATCGGCCCAGATAAACTATTCTCACTCAAGTCTATAGTCCTGAGATGACCAAGCTGGGTAAGACTCACACTTAACCCTCCACTAAAATTGTTCATTGCCAGTGAAAGCTTCCTAAGAGACTGCAATTGAAGAAGGCCTCTACCAATCTTCCCTGAAAGCCCAAAACCATCAAGATTAACCTCAGAGACTCTATTAGATCTGGGGTTACATTTCACCCCATTCCACCTGCAAGGACTATCATCCTCTTCATTCCAAGATCCCAGCTTCCCTTCTGGATCTTGAATGTCAGCCTTAAACACAATCAACCCTAGAACATCATCATCCAGTGAAGGGTACACAGAACAAACCAGAATGGGAGCTAGGAGACTCCAAACCAGACCACACAACAACCTTGTCATCTCAAAAATGCAGTACAAGTATACAACCTTTGTTATATTTCCATTAGAATCACTCAAAAACCTTAACAGATATGTAGATCACAGCAAAGTCGCAGTTTTGTTGGGAAATAGTAATATAATATAACGGTGAAAAATGCAGCTAGACTAACAAGAATAGACAAGAAACCCAACTACAACTGGAGCTGAAAATGACTACTCTTTCAACACTTTCTAGCCCTCAAAAATTTCATCTTTGGCCATAACGGCTAGAAATGCAGACCAAAGAACAATAAAGAGAAATGCCCAGAACCGGAAAACTTCAAAGAGAGCCTGTGCTGGGAAGAACAAAGCCGTAGAAACTAAAAATGGACAGAAACGGAAAATCAAGAACGTGAAAGTTATGAGCTTTAGATATCACCGGAAATGGGAAACGCCGGCGCTGGAGGAGAGAGTGGTTTCTACCGGTTCAAGAGACGTCGGTACCGGAGAATTCACCGGAGAATGTGACGGCGGCGCAGAAGCGGTGAGTCAGTGAAGCATTTAAAGCTCTCTTTATTTCTCGCTGTTGTCTGAGCGCCGGACAGACTCTTTATTTAGTGGTAAAAAATAAATAAATAAAATAAAAAGTAGAGGGAAAAAGGGAATGTGGGGCCATCTTATTAGGCCATACACGTGTCAGTTTATAATAGGCTTTGACCATCTGACATGGCACACAGCAGTCGTTGTTGATAAAATTCTTGCACTACAAAATTTTTGTTTACTCTAACCGCCATTAAAATCATTGCTCCAAAATTTCCCTTTAAGTAACTACAAACTTAATTAACCATTTTAATTTAAAATTAAGGAAAACATCTCAAATTGACTCATAAGTCTGAATTATATGTCAGAAAAAAAATTCAATCAATCCCTTTAAAATTGTAAAGAAAATACAATTCAACTCTTTTTAAATAGGGTAATGCTAATTTAACACGCAGACTAAGTTGACACATATGCTTCTAAAAAATATGGTGATGATTGTTTCAAAAAAGATGTGGTGATGATTTGGACAATATTAAAGAATTATTTTTAAAAAAAAATCAAGAATTTAAATTAATTCAAATTACAAACTTATAAGTTACAACGAATAAATTTAAACTAATACATAAAGGTTTTTGTAAATCATCATTAGTATAAGTGTGAGACTCTTTATAAAAGGGACTGAGATTTGTCTTGTATGTTAAAGAAATTTAAACCAATACATTTTAGGTTACGATATTAAATAAAAAGTAAGGAAAAGAAAGAGATAAAAGTAATGTGGGCTAACAAATTTAGCCTAGCCCAATTAACCCACATTACATGGGAGGGTAGTTTGGCACGATCTCATATACAAGATTGTATCGTGTCGGCCCAAGCATAGTAGCACATGGGTTGTGCCTGGACCAACTCCTGTCAGTTTAGTCTACATTGTCATCTCTAGAAGAACAACATAGGATTGAGTTGGTGAAGTGATGTGGGTGCCAAGAAGTTGGGTTAGGGCACAATTCAAGGGCTTGAGATTATGATAAAATCTGTCAAATGTTAGTATGACAAAAGTATTGCCTTAGTTTACTAGGAGTACGTAAGTCTATGAAGAGTTGTAATTATATTATGTCTATAATATATATATTTTTTTGAATACATATGTCCATAATACAATTTGAGGTACAATGTAACTAGATAGACAGTATGAGTCTAATCAAAACACAATTTGAATGAGATGTAAGTAGTCTCTTCTTCAAAGGATTAATTATCTCTACGATGTAACATATGACATTCTCTATACGTTATAGCAATACAATAGTTTTATTCTCGTCGGGAGGGGCAGCGCTGCCTGGCGGAACACCAACAGCGATGATGGCAAATCGTGGACGCCAGCAGAGTGGCGACGGTGGCTCAGGAGGCTGGCAGAATTGTGGTGGCAGTGCAATACAATAGTTTTATTGTTATCTAGCATTCATGACATCCTTAAGTTTTATTTTCAATTTCATCATTGTATTTTAACCTAATTTTCAAATTTGATTTAGTTTGGAAAGATCTAATTCCAATCATATATGCATATAGAAAAAAAAAATAAAAAAAATTTGTGCGCAAAATACAACTCAATTGATCAACTCAATTCAACCAACTTAAAGTAAGTTAATAAGTTTTGTTTTGTTTTGTTAATAGACAAATGAAAAAAGGAGGGTGTGGAGTTGATCTTGACCTGTAAGTCAGTTGTGGCACGGCACATTTTATAATTTATCTTATTTTTATTGTTGCACTTTTTATCCTAATGTTATCATTTAAAAAATAAAAAGAGAAAAAGGAGATAATTGAAAACATTGTCATTTTTTCTTCTTCTACGGAGTATTTTTTTAATCATTTTGATGCTATGAATTATATATAATCAATGGAAATTTGTTGAACGAATGTGTGTGTAGTTTCTTGTCAGCTTTAGCAGATGGTCGTGTTGGAAAGTTTGGAAGTAAATTTACTAGACTCCACCTAACTTAAACTCATGTCAAATATTTGGGGTCCAATCATGTCTCATAGATAAAAGGGTACAACACATGATATTCTCCAATAAAGACGATAGATAAAGGTAATGATCCAAAATAGCTTACTAATTATAAGATTTTAAGCTTTATTTACATTGGAGATAGTCTTGATTTGAGTCACTCATTTATAAGTAACTTAAAATGGTTTATCTCCTTGTAATCTTTTGTCAATAAGAATTATAAGACAGGATTAGTACATACTTTCGAATAATGACTATGACTTGTAGTTTCTTGCGTCACTAAAAAAAAAAATCAAAATCCAAACTCTGCATTTTGCAGTTGTAAGTGAATTTATATTATTATTAGTTTCATGCAAATTATACCATAGATTAAGATTCACCATGCATATTGTGGATCCTAATATAAATTATATATATACAGTTAACATTTTATATAGGGTTCGCGCGCGCACACACACACGCACACACATATGTATTAACACACACGCCTTGTTGTAAGTCATATCATGTAAACTGAATGTAAATAATAAATTGAATGTATATAATATGTTAACGGCATATATATAATTTCGACCAGGATTCACACCATGCATGGTGGACCTTTGTCCACATGCAATACAACGATTGTTAACTTCAAGAACACAACTCAACTGATCAACTAATTCAAAATAAATTGATAAGCTTTGTTTTACTAGCATCCGCAGAGTACATGGGTAACATTCAACCAATGACCAAAAAATAGAGGTATATATAAAGCTGACATTGTTGTACGCACTAGTATATAATTAAACATATGATGAGAGTCTATCGGCCAGTTCATACACATCCTGCAATTTACCTCATTCGCTAGTCTCTAGGGCATGAGTAGTGATGGACCCTTATAGGTTTTAGTTCAAATTTATATTATTAAACTTTTTTGAATCGGTTAAGTATAGTTGAGTAGTGAATGTGTTTGGAACAATACATTGAGATTGTTTTCATTTTAACAAAAAATATTTTTAGAGTTAATTTTAGTTTTTATTTATTTTTATTATTTCATTCCTTTTTACTTCTAGTATTTGATTTTGAAATTAATCAAATTTGATTTATAACTACTAACTGAGATATTCAATAGTACTAAAAAAAAAAAAGAATTTGATAATCAAACTTGAAAAACACACTAGTTAAAAGACTAAAAGACTTAATTTCATTTTTGGTCTCAAGATTTTTGAAGTTTTATCACTTTTGGTACACAACTTTAAATTTTTTCAATTTTAGTGCCTAACTTTGTTACTTTTATTAGTTTTAGTCCTTCCAGCCAAATTAACGGCGAAATGATGCTGGATTTGATATTTAGGGGCAAAAGCGTCATTCAAAGGAAAGATCTTCAATATCTAAACAAAAGAAAAATCATATTAAGAGAAAAAGAAGAGTTTGTTAGTCGCCGACACTATAAATCTCTTAGATTTTGTGCCTAGTTTCTGCCCGTCTTCCCCATTATTCTCATAGATCAAACACCTATAAATATGATTTTATAGTGGTTTTGTTTAGATATTGAAGATATTTCCTTGGGATGACGATTTTACCTATAAAAATATAAAATTCAGCAACATTTCGCCGTCAATTTGACCGAAAGGACCAAAATTGATAAAAATAAGTACAAAAATTGAAAATTTTTAAAGTTGCGCACCAAAAGTAATATAATCTCAAAAGTAGTGGGATAAAGAGTGAAATTAACAAAAATTAACTCTTTATTTTATGATAATATATCATCTCTTCTTTTTTTAGGGGGGGGGGTGGGGGGGGGGGTTGGGGGGTTTGGAAAC